AAGGGGTCATACCTCTACGTACACATCATACCTAGAAGTCCCTGGGGGTCTCCTGAGCCACACACACACACACACACACACACACACACACACACACACACACACTCTGCCTGCTGGTTTGCCACCTGCTGGACTCATTTCTATCACTCCATCACCCCACTTCTCTGCCCTGTCTTTTGGTGGGCCTTGCCTTTGTTCACGTGTGCACACACACGGGGGTGCACGGTGGTGACGTGCCTCTCTCCAGGGCAGCCCCAGGCTTGTCACAGCACATCCTGCCCTCCACAGGAGCCTCATCCATGGAAGTCAGGATAGGACATTATGCCTGGTTAGCTCAGTAGTCAAGGGAGTTGTAGGAGCTACACAGCCTACAGCCAGCCTGAGCCAGCTCTGCACTGACCTGCAAGGGGGCCTCCCAGACCCGCTCCCTTCGCAGGGGACACATTCAGACATGGGGCACGGCTTGAGCATATATGAGACCTCAAAGCCTACCTCCACAGTGACACACTTCCTCCAACAAGTACCATTCCCTTTGGGGGCCATTTTCTTTCCAACAGAAGGCTATGCATGTTCATGTATGAATGTACACGTGAAGAGGGACACACTTCCGATCATGCTCAGTTTAAAGTCATCCATCCGTACGCTGAGTGTGAGCTGACCTCATAGACTCACAGCGGTAGCGGTGACTGTGTTGGCTAGGCTCCCAAGAATGCCCTGGATGGATACCATGTTAAGTACTAACAATGGAAGTGAAATGTCACTGAGCTGATACAGAATTCTTGGTCGGCCTAGATCTCAGAGAGTAGATGTCATGGAGGACACTGTAAGATACTAGGAGCATCACTCATCTGCCTAGTTGGCGATAGAAGGGGAAGGCCTATACACAAAGTTCCTATACCCACTCTACTCCCCTCGGGCGGGCATGACAGGATAAAGGATATCGGAAACATTGCAAATCCATCCAGGTTTGCCTGTGTCTTTCACTTCGGCTGTAGTGGAGGCAGGCTGCGCAGTAGTCTATTAGAAACTTACTGACAGATTTATGTTATCAGATCCTCAGAATATTTCTCCCAGAAGATGAAAGCTGTCTGTCATTTGTGGGAGAAAAAAAAGTGTATGCTGGTTGGTTTATGTCAACTTGTCACAAACCTAGATACATCTGAAAAGGGGGGATTTAAAAAAATGCTTTTTAATGCATACTTGCCTGCATGTATGTCTGTGCACCATATTTGAGCCTGGTGCCCACGGAAGGCAGAAGAGAGGGCATCAGATCCCCTGGGGTCACAAACAGTTGTGACCCATGTGGGTGTGGGAACTAAATCCAGGGCCTCTACAAGAACAGCGAGTGCTCTTAACTGCTGAGCCGTCTCTTTGGCACCTAAAGAAGAAATCTTTCTTTTTATGTCATTATTTTGTCTTTTAGTTTCATTTGACATTCTAACCATAGATCTCCCTCCCAGTCCTCCTCCCCACCCCCAGTCCTCTCCTCCTCACGGGTAAGGGGCTCCCGTGAGGAGTCAACAGTCTGGTACAGTAGGTTGGGGTAGGGCCAGACCCCTCTCCCATACATTAAGGCTGAGCATGGCATCCTCCATAGGGAGTGGGCTCCAGCAAGCTAGCTCATGTACCAGATTTGTGTCGTGGTCCTACCGCCAGATGCTCCTACCGCCAGATGCTCCTCAGCTAGTCCGAGCTTCAAAACTGTCTCCCACAATCAGAGGGCCTAGTTTGGTCCCCTGGAGTCTCCACAGTTGTGGGTCTAGAGTGCATGAGTTTTCATGAGCTTGGTTCGGCTGTCTCTGTAGAGTTCTCCATCATGATCTTGACCTCCCTTGCTCATGTATTCCCTCCTCCCTCTCCTTGACTGGATTCCCAGAGATCGGCCTGATTCTTGGTTGTGGATCTCTGCATCGGGTCCCATCAATTCCTGGATGAAGGTTCTATGGTGATAGTTGGGGTATTCACCAATCTGATTACGGAGTAGGCCAGATCAGGCATCCTCTCCACTATTGTCAGGAGTCTTGGCTGGGGTCCTCCTTGTGGATTCTTGGGAGTTACCCTAGCACCAGGTTTCTACCTAAGCCCATAGTGGCTCCGTCTATTAAGACACATTTCTTTTACAGCTCTTCCACTGCATCCCTCCCCTCCTCGGCCATCTCATTCCCTCCGGTTCTCACCCCTCCCCTCCCCCTTACCACCCTACCCTAGTTTGCCCCGTAGTTCTCATCTAGTTTCCCTTGAAGAAATCTTAATTGAGAAAATGCCTTCATCAGATTGACCTGTAGGCAAATCTGTGGGATGTTGTCTGCTTAATGATTAATGTGGGAGGACCTAGTCCGTAGTGAGTACCGTCATCCCTGGGCAGGCGGCGGTCCTGGGTTGTATACACAAACAGGCTGCGGTGGCCCACAACTTCAGTCTCAGCAGTTGTGAGGCAGAGGCAGGTGTATATCTGTGAGTTCTACACAGAGAGTTCCAAGGCAGCTAGGGCCATATAAAATGACCCTGTCTCAAAGCAAGCAGCAGTTTGAGCAAGCCACGAGGATAAGCCCGAAAGCAGCGTCTTGCTGATCTCTGCCTCCAATCCCCGACTTCCCTTTATGATGGAATAAACCCTCAGAAAGCCTCAGGGTTGCCCATTCACTGGTCCCAATCCATGTTTTCTTTCAGAATACAGTTTTTCCAGGTTGAAGAATCTATATTGCTTGAGATTACAGAATAGTTGCCCTGGAACTTCTTTGGTGTTTCTCTGTGTAGCCCTGGCTGTCCTGGAACTCTCTCTGTAGACCAGGCTGGCCTCGAACTCACAGAGATCTACCTGCCTCTGCCTCCCTAGTGCTGGGACTAAAGGACTGCGCCACCACTGCCCAGCTACCCTGGAACTTTCTTATCAGAGACAGTATAATTATGGCTATATGCAGGCTATGGCTATTTGCCAAGGATGCGTTCTCACAAGTGGAGACAGGGGGCTGCCTCTGCCTGCCTGCCATACTTGCTGCCGGTGAGCTCATTTTAAATAACCACTCCTTTTCCTTGTTATAATATCCTCAGTATATTGTCCCAAGTATAAGAAACAATACAGATATGTAAACAACATCCACACCTTCTTCCTTAGGTCCCAATGAGAGACCTAAGGAAAATTCCACCACAGTTCACCTTGGGGAACCAGTGAGTTTACATACAGAGTATGGGTGAGGCGTGACTAAAAATTGTGGGTAACCACACTGGAAAGTAGCCACACTGGAATGTTTCCACCTAACATGGCTTTCCCATAGCCTTCTAGATGAAGCCCCCTTCTTCTAGTCTAGGAATAGCTGTTTTGAAGATGGCAGTGGCTTGGCACCAAGGATAATGCCTTGCAAAATAGCCCAAAATAATGACTAAAATTTTAGGGCAGGAGTCAGCATGTTTTGTTTGTTTTTTTGTTTTTTTTTTTTTTTTTTTTTTTTTTTTTTTTTTTGTTTTTTTAAGGGCCAGAGAGTAAATCATTGAGGCTTTGCAGGCCATAATGTCTGTGCTATAATTTTCCAACACTACTGTTGGCAACATGAAAACAGCTATATAAACTCATATAAACAAATGCGCATGACTGTGTTCCTGTAAAACTTAACTTACAAGTCAGGTGTGGTGGCACACACCTCTCTGAGGGTCACTCAGTCTCAGTGTGGACCCTGAAGAGAAAGGCAGCAGGTGGGGAGCCTGCCGCTTGGGGCTGTCCCTCAGGTGGTCTGTGCATCCAAACCTTCTGCTTGTGCCCTGTCATGACCCCTGGAGAGAAATGTTCCTTCCGTTGTAGCGCGCATGAGACAGGGTTCAAGCGGAGGGGTTTTTATTAGGGAAAGGGATCATAAAATGGAGAAAGGTGAGCAGGAAGACTAGTCTCTGGGGACAGGAGCAGCAGGAGAAAGTAAAAGGGGGAGAGAGGGGAAAGGGGGGAGATGAGAGAGAGAGAGAGAGAGAGAGAGAGAGAGAGAGAGAGAGAGAGGGTGGGAGGCGGGCAGGGCCCTTTTAAAAAGGAACTTAGTGAATGTGCACAGCTTAGTGGCTGCAGCTGAGGTGAACCCTATCAGAACCCCAAGGACAGGCCAGTACAGATGCCTGGATACTGACACCTTCCATGAACCCTATCACACAAGATCCAGACGGCTTGGCATGGCCTTAGACAGCTTCCTAGATGGACAATTAGGATGGACATTTTTCATGTGTTTGTCTTTGTCTGTCTTAAAGGCAAATGCCACCATGCCCTTGGCTAGGATGGACATGTAATCCTCTGATTGTTTCTCAAAACTTCCCTCAAGGGTCCACCCATCTGCTCCGAGAAGGGGAATCCCACTTCAGAGAGCTGAATTTGCCTCGGTGTGGTCACCAAGGCCTGAATCTCTGGGGGCAGGTAGAGGTTACCCAGAAGCAGCAAGTAAAGATGACAGACTTCAGGAATGCTGGGGGTGGGTTAGGTGGTAATAAACTTGCCACCTGACCTAGCCCAGGAATCAGATTACTGCCCTTGATCATTGGATGCCTGTTCCTATCTCAGGAAGACACAGGATGCTGGATTACCTCCGGAGAACTGTCTATGCTGAATGGTTAGCCACTACCATGTCCATGGGCACAGAGAGGCTGAGTGGAAATCCAGCTTCTCGTCCACTAAAACTATTGCCAGCCAGCGCTTCTGTTCACAGAAAGCAAATCAGAAAACTGAAGTTCTGTTCTCCTAGATCAGAAGTTCAGCCCAGTGGTAAAAGTTTGCCTAGCATCCCCAGGCCTCCCACTTTCCTGTTCCTCGACTGTGTGGACTCCAATTGCAGGCATCCGTGTGTACATTTTTTTCTTCCAACCCCAATAAGCAGCTGGCTGGCATATTTGGGGATTGAGAGGCCTAGCCATGGAGGAAGTGGGTCATACCATCCTGGCTAGGCCAGTCAGATCCTAGCCCCACCTCTGCCCCACCTGCCAGCCCAGTTATAAAAACTGAACCCGTCTCTTGCTGCAGGAATACACTGGTATTGGCAGCATGAACCTGAATTTCAGTGGCCTGAGGGCCCTGGTGACAGGGGCAGGGAAAGGTGAGTGTGAGCAGGTTGGGGAGACAGCGCAGGTTGGGGAGAGGAAGGGGGCCAGCCGCAACACAGAATAGGGGCCCAAGGTGACCTTGTCACAGCTCAGCCCCCATAGACCCCGACTCCCACTTCACCCAGGGCTCAAATGCTTCTGTCACCCAGCTGGAGCCCCACCGCCCACCAGGACAGAATGCCAGTCTCTCCCTGGCCACCCCAGTGCCACACCCTGAAGGACACGTTCAGCGTGGCTCCAAAACAGCCCTAGATCCTCCAGGCAGGGCAGATGGGCACCAGTGTCACCCTGTCTGGGGCCCCATCAGGAGGGTGCTGCCCTCTGGTGCCTCCTTTGGCCTGGTACCAGTGAGTCAGAGTCTCCAGGGATAGTCCCATCTAATTCTGGCTTATCACGTTCAGGCCAGCACCCTCTCACTGCTGGCTGTGGAGACATGGGGGCAACAGCCTTTACTCCCTCCTGGGACCCAGAGCCCGGCTGTGACCAGGCCCACAGGGCCAATCCCACCATGTTCCCTCTCTATAGGGATTGGGCATGACACTGTGAAGGCCCTGCATGCCTCAGGAGCCAAAGTGGTGGCTGTGACACGCACCAATGCAGACCTGGTCAGCCTTGCTAAAGAGGTGAGGCACACAGCCCTGCCAAGGCCTGGGCCTGCTCCCCACCCTCAGGGGCACATCAGAAGCTTGGTGGGACAGCACCTCGCTCAGGCCACCCGTGCCTCTCTCCCCCAGTGTCCGGGGATAGAGCCTGTGTGCGTGGACCTGGGAGACTGGGAGGCCACAGAGAAGGCGCTGCGCGCTATCGGCCCTGTGGACCTGCTGGTGAACAATGCGGGGGTGGCGCTGATTCAGCCCTTCATGGAGTCTACCAAGGAGGTCTTTGACAGGTGGGCGCTGGGGAGAGTGGGCAGGCTGGGGGCGTGGCTGGGGGCGCTGCTGCCGGGCCACATTGTCCCTCTCCTGCCAGGTCCTTCAATGTGAATGTGCGCTCTGTGTTGCAAGTGTCCCAGGTGAGCCGGTGGGGGGGGGGCTGTGCCCAGGGAGGGCACCTGGGGAGGGCAGACGGCATAGGGCACAGTGAGCCGCCCCTAACGCTTGGCTTCCAGATGGTAGCCAAGGGCATGATTAACCGTGGAGTGGCAGGGTCCATCGTCAACATCTCCAGCATGGTGGCCTATGTCACCTTCCTGGCCTGGCCACATACAGTGAGTGCACCCTTCATTGTGGGAGGAGGAGGAGGTTCTGGGTGGGTCTCCCAGAAGGGGGGCTGAGTAATTAGGGGGTCCTCAGCACGCCTCACCCCCACAGGCTCCACCAAAGGTGCACTAACCATGCTGACCAAAGCCATGGCCATGGAACTCGGGCCACACAAGGTAGGCACGGGGGCCTGGGCCCACACCTGAGGGACAGATGATGGACACCTGGTGATGGAGCAGGGCTGGGGGTGAGGGTGAGGATGGGGTGTGGCTTGGCCATGCTCTGAGCTCATCAGGCTTGTCCTAGGGCAAGTCCTGAGCTGTGTGGGTAGTGCTAGTTAACTGGCTGTGCCACCCACCTGCTGTGGCTTCTGGGGGTCCCCAGATCCGGGTGAACTCTGTAAACCCTACCGTGGTGCTGACTGACATGGGCAAGAAAGTCTCTGCAGACCCGGACTTTGCCAAGAAGCTCAAGGAGCGCCACCCACTGAGGAGGTTTGCAGGTCAGCTGGGGATGCGGGTGAGGGAATTGGGGAGGCTCTGGCAGCTGAGCAGGCAGAAGCCCTGACTGCTCTGCTGTCCTGCAGAGGTGGAGGACGTGGTCAACAGCATCCTCTTCCTGCTCAGCGACAGCAGCGCCTCTACCAGCGGCTCTAGCATCCTGGTGGACGCTGGTTACCTGGCCTCCTAGGCTGCCCAGATGCAGGGGACCCCTAGAGGCCTCCCTGGCTCCCTACTCTAGAGCTAAAGCCTCTGCTGATCTCATGACCTGCTCCCTACGCCACAGCCCTGCCCTCAGATGTCTGATCCTGCAACCATAGCACACTCTGGACTTTGGAGTTTTTGTTCTCTTTGTCCGCTTTGATGGTCTCATTTTCCTAAATAAATGGACCACTACAGTCCCGAACCATTGCACAGGACTCCTTGGGGTGGCCTGCTGCAAGGCTGGATGCTGGATCAGGTCCTGCTGCAGGCTATTTACCTCAAAGTCTGCTTTCTGCCAAAACCTACTGTCCCTTGTGACCAATGTGACCAAAGGACACTCTCCTGAAAAGACAGGATCTGTGTTGTTGCACACCTCCTCTTAGGGCTTTCTCCCTGTCCATTACTGTGTCTGGTTACCTCTTTGTGTTCTGACCCCAACCCAGGAATCAGGGAAGGGAGGGGGAAGCAGGGAAGGGGAGATGTCCTAGACCACATCATTCCTAAATCTGTGGACTCTTTGCAGAAGGAGAAGAACTGTCAGGTGGGGGGGGGATTGGAATCTCTCTGTATTCTCTGGAACCCACTTGCTGGTCCATTCATACAAGCACGCTAACAAGGCTGCCCAAACTGAAGCTCTCACAGCTAGCTAGCTGGTCTATCACCCTGGCCAGCACCAGCACAAGAGCCCTGCAACCAGGAGCCCTGGCAGGTTCTCCTGTGCTTGCTTGCATTGGCTAGCTCTGTCAATAGAGCATGAGACTTTTAATCTCAGGGTCGTGAGTTCAAGCCCCACATTGGGCACCAATTGAAGGGGGAGGGGTAAATGAGTTCACCAGACCCAAGATCAATGATAATAGATATCTGTTAGAGGAGGACTTACAATGCTCTTCCAATGCTCTCCAAAGCCCAAGTGAGAGACAGTCCACTGCCTGTACCTTATCAATGGGTCATGTCTGCTCCTGAAACCATGCCCACTGCTACAAGTTCATTGGCAAGGCAAGATGCCACTACAGCCTGTGGTCTCTAGTAGGTTGTGGGGCTTAAAGTGGCCAACCATTTGAACTGACACAGGGTCCAGCTCAGGTCAGGTGGCAGAGCAGAGGAGGGTGGGCTCAGGTCAGACCTTCTAAAGAGCACAGGGTACAGTTTTCTGAGAGTCCCTCTCTTCAGAGAGCAAGGCCTGAGCTGCAGCCTGTGTGCATCCAGAACCACAGAGCAATGAGATCTGTGCACGTCCTGGATACTGAAGCTGCTGGTGAGCTTTAAGCAGCCATATCTAGGTGTTGGGCAGGTTGGGTGCTGTCTCTCTCTCAGTTTTTGGCAGGCAGATGGCAGAGTTCACAGAATGGACTTACAGCGGTGTGATCAGGTCATAGAAGGGCGTGGGAGACACTTGGCTATCTGGCCTCCGGTGCTTTTCTTTCCTTTAAATAATAATAAAAAATTACTATTATGTGTATGGATTTTGCCTGCAGGTGTGTCTGTGCACCATGTGCAAACCCACAAAGGCCAGAAGAGGGCATGGGTTCTCTAAAACTGATGTTCTTGAGCAGCCATGTGGGTCCTGGGAATCCAACTGGAGTCCTCTGGAAGAGCAGCCAGTGGTCTTAACCACTGCATGGGATTGTCAAAACCGAGTCAGCCCATGCATGCATGCACCTACAATCACCAGGTCGAAGCTACTGGCCAGAGTAGGGTCCTCAGAGTAGTGCTTTGGTGTTCCTTACCATGACCCTAACAACGACATGTTTTTGTACGGAGACACGGTGTACTCCTGGACATTCATTAACCTGTAGCTGACTGGAAAGCAGTGCGTGTCTGGCCAGTTCCTATGTACATCCCAAAACCCAGCCCTGGCTCTTCTTTTCCTGCCCAGTATCTGCAAGGGGCTGGTGACATGATGTGAGCTGAGTGAGGTGACCTTGGGCTTCAGACCCACATGATGCTACCTTGGGGCTTTATTGGTAACAGTGTTTCCTTTGGAGCATTACGCATGCGCTATCTGGACCCATCCCCAGGCCTGGGAAAAGAGCACATAAGACGTTTTGGGGGCATGCCTCTCAGGTTCACGAATATCCGTGAAATGCCTGGCAAAACTGGTATGTTTGTTTCTCATGGAAATTTTCTTGGCAGTGACAACCGTGTTCACCAGGGCTCACTAAGCAGATTCCCCCGCTCTGAAATTGGATCATTCTGGTGCAGTTTGAGAAGCTGTGTGCCTTGGTTAACCCAGCCCTGCCCCGGTCACGCCCACCGCAGTTCAGCCAATCAACACGACAGAAGGAGATATTATTTTAATATCCTCGCCCTTTTCAAGAGGCAGCCCACGCGATTGGCTCTCCTCGTCCCGCCTTCGGTTCCGGAACTCCAAGTCCATCTTGCTCCCTCCCGCAGGATCTGTCTGAGCCACCATGGACCTGGGGCTTGCAGGTCGGCGGGCGCTGGTCACCGGTGCAGGCAAAGGTCAGGCGGCAAGAGAGGGGCGCTTGCGGGGTCGGGCTGGTTTGAAAGGGGGGACCCGCACTAATCCTTGCTCGCCTCAGGCATCGGGCGCAGCATTGTGCTGGCATTGCGGGCGGCCGGTGCACGTGTTGTGGCCGTGAGCCGGACACAAGCGGACCTTGACAGCCTGGTTAGCGAGGTAAGCACCGTGTCCAGAGGTGAGGAGACGGTCTCTGAGTGAGACGCTGCACCCCTTGGCGCCCCTCACCCTCAGCGTGCTTCTCACTGCAAGCCTTGCCCTGCGCCTGGCGCTGGGCGTTGGGGGAGGGAAACCCTCTGCACTCCTTCCTAGGTCCGAGGCCTGTGCAAATGGTCTGAGGTCCATCAAGACATCTTGGCTCCCCGAGTTTGGAAGAAATTGAAATGTCCACTGAGAGAGCAGTCCTAGGTCCAAGAATGCTGAGCGGAGAGGAAGTGAGATGCCAAGAGGGCGGGGCTGTGTCTCTTAGCGTTAAGTTCCTGCCTCACAGTTTGCTCTTGGGGCAGGAACGCTGACACAGTTGAAAATTCCCTTCCACATCCAACTCTCACAGACTTGCTACCTTTCCGCAGGAGAAAAAGACCAGCGGCACCACCTTCTTGGGACACAGTTGCTAATCGCTTTGTTTTGCCCCAATACACAGTGCCCTGGCGTGGAGCCTGTGTGTGTGGACCTGGCAGACTGGGAGGCCACAGAGCAGGCGCTAAGCAGCGTGGGACCGGTGGACCTGCTGGTCAACAATGCTGCCGTGGCTCTGTTGCAGCCCTTCCTGGAGGTCACCAAGGAGGCCTGTGACACGTAAGCCAGCAAGGGACTGGAGAAACCATCCTATGCAGCGGGCCCCAGCCATGCCCTTGACCAGTCCGTCCATTCATTACTAGGTCCTTCAATGTGAATCTTCGGGCTGTCATCCAGGTGTCTCAGGTGAGCTGCCTTACCCAGCTGGAGGAGGAGGAGCTCTGAAGAGGAGTGCTGGTTCTGCTTCACATCCCTCAAAATTTCAGATTGTGGCCAGGGGCATGATTGCTCGGGGAGTCCCGGGGGTCATCGTGAACGTCTCCAGCCAGGCCTCCCAGCGTGCACTGACCAACCACAGTGTTTACTGTAAGCAAACCAGGCTGTGCCTCATCCCCGCCCGGCTCCCACTCCTGGGCCTCTGCCTCTACAACAACCTTCCTCACAGGTTCTACCAAGGGTGCTCTGGACATGCTGACCAAGATGATGGCCCTAGAGCTGGGGCCCCACAAGGTGTGTTGGGCTGGGCTGGATGAAGCAACTCCTCCAAATCAGCCCCGATGCCCAGGGCACCCTCTGGCATTGTTTTACCTTGCTGGCCTCTTTGTAGATCCGTGTGAATGCGGTAAACCCCACAGTAGTGATGACACCCATGGGCCGGACCAACTGGAGTGACCCCCACAAGGCCAAGGTTATGCTGGATCGCATTCCACTTGGCAAGTTTGCTGGTAAGTTAGGCCGGAGTCCAGACTGGAACCGTACCAGCAGGCCTGGTGCTTGCCTGGGCCTGGGGGTTGATCGGGGCTGGGAGGACGAGGGAAGGCTCCTTCATCTTTGTTCTTGGTTTCCACCTGCCTCCAGAGGTGGAGAACGTGGTGGACGCCATCCTCTTCCTGCTGAGCAGTCGGAGTGGCATGACCACGGGCTGCATGCTGCCGGTGGATGGGGGCTTCCTGGCTACCTGAGTCTCCTCTACTCTGCTCAGAACATTGTAACCCCCCCCCCCAACCATCCCTCCAATAAACATCTGTCCAGCCTGTGTGCTGACTCTCAGACAGGCAGAGAGCTTCGGGACATCTGTGATCCAAATCAGGTAGAGTTGGTTCCCACATACACTTTCAGGCCTCGCCAGCTCGATGATGGCATGGGGTGGAAGATAGGGCCTTCCAGAAGGCTGGACCCTCAAGAGTTTGGTCAGTTTGCCCAAAGATGGCCCGCTCAGAGGTTTCTGGAGTGGAGCTGTGGACTATTGGTAAAAGCACCAAACAGCTCTGCCAATGAGCTAAACAACTTCTTTTTATGGTCTCGAAAACTTGAACATTCCTACACTACAACTTTTTGTGTTATTTACAAAATAATCAGGGTGTATTTAACTTGCAGTGTCTGGCTTCCAAAGGCCTGGGCCACTGTTAAATTGAGCCCTGGTGTGGAACTTGCATTAGAGCTGACTTTGAGCTAAGTACACACTTGATAACATTTGCTGTGGAGCTGGGGGGGGGGGACATGGAGGTGTGAGGAGGTCCTTAGTCGCGCCCCATGCCATACAATAACATGAGGTACAAAGGACAGCAACATACATTAAGTAATTAGGGAATGGTGAGTTTGCTAATTTTGTGCTCAGCACAACTAATTGTGAGTTTATGTGACTTAATTATTAATAAGAGCTGTTTAACAACTGGTTGGCAAACTTCCTGAAAAAAAAAAAAAAGTAACAACCAGCTCTCTGAGTCAACATGAACCGCTTATACGCATCACTGGGAGGAAAATGTGTCCCTGCAGGGTATCCTGTGGTCTTGTGTCTGCTCCAGGGAAATACCTTCCGCCTCTGGGATGAAGTCTGGACCATAACTTTGGGCCCTTCTGGGCTGCCTCCCTCCACTTTGGCAACCTGTTGGCATCTCATACCAGCCAGAGTTGAGTCAACTTAGGCTTCCAGAGTCTAGGCTTCAATCTCTTTACAGACTGTTCCCCTGGGCTCAGTGAGAGCTGCTGGAACATGTCCCCCAAGTCCCCACCAGGCCCCAGGTTTGCACACACAGGCCATTCTGTATACAGCTAAGTGTGCCTACCTGTGCTTCGTTGGGTCTGTGTGGTATCTTCTCCCTCACCTAGGATGTGTTAAGCTCAGAGTTTTCTTTGTGGAAATATAGTGCTGTTAGGAATGCCAGACTCTTCCGCCCTCCTTAGGGGATGGCTAGAGCAAGTACCACGGTGGAAAGCAGGACAGACGGGGAGACAGAGGAGGTGGTGAACGTTTATTGTATAAAATAAGAAGGGGCCGCCCTTTCCTGGGACATGATGAACAAAACCCACCCCCACCCTTCCCTCCAGGGAAGCCCATCCTGGGGCTCCTCTGGACCCACCCCCGCAGCAGCCCTGAGGGAGACCCTGCTCCCTCCTGGCCTCCCATAGGAACCAGGGAAGGCTGGAGCTATATCCCAGAAAAAGGAGGCGTAGGGGACAGGACCCCATCACCCCAGCCTTGTCCCATGCCTTCCCTCCCCACCCACGCCACTCCCCACAGCAGACTTAGGGACAGCTCAACACGGGGGGCACACTTGAGCCAGGCTCCTCAGCCAGGCTGGCCAGATGGGGTTCTAGAAGACTGTGCACTTCTTGCCTGGTTTTTTCACTGGAGGAGGGCAGAGGACTGCCCGAATGGCCTCATCAAACACTGTCTTCAGACCTCTCTGGGTCAGAGCTGAGCACTCCAGGTACTTGACAGAACCTGGCAATGTTGATGTTGAGGGAAGGACAGACGGCAAGAAAGGGACAGTGGAGGGGGTAGTTGTCGATGGGGGGGGGAGCAGCGCAGGCAGGCTCAGCCCCTCAAAGCACATCACCAACCCTGTGCCCCATGCTTACTCACCGATCTCTCTGGCCATGGCCAGACCTTGTGGGTAGGTGATGGGTGCCAGCTTCTTGTCCCGCAGCCGTTCAATGGTATCCTTGTCATCACGGAGGTCCAGCTTGGTGCCCACCAGAAGGATGGGTGTGTGGGGGCAATGGTGCCGCACCTCTGGGTACCACTGTGGGAACAGAGCTCCTGACCCCACAGGCTTCGGAGACCCTTATGCCTCGGGACAGGGGCCCCCTAACCTGCCCAAAGTGAGCCCCAGATCCTGAGGGTTTTTCTCTGATATGTGTGTGGCTCTTCCTGCTTCACAGAGAAACTAGGAGTTTGTTGGGCTTGGCAGTGAACAAAGACACCCATCCAGGGAGACCAGAGACTTCTCGGTCAGCCCAGGCGTCCCCCCCCCCGCTTGCTCAGTGGGGAATGTGCCTCTTCTGCTGGGACCCCAAGGCTCACCCTACCTTGGCACGGACGTTCTCAAAGGAAGCCGGGCTCACCAGCGAGAAGCAGATCAGAAAGACGTCCTTCAGAGGGAGGGACAGACAGCACTGACCAAACGGTGTTCAAGCAGGCTGTGTCTCCTCCCCAACACAGGAACCACCCAACTCCTACAGTTGGCCGTCTTGCCACCTACGGTTTGCGGATAGGAGAGCGGCCGAAGCCTATCGTAGTCTTCCTGGCCAGCAGTGTCCCACAGCCCCAGGTTGACTGGCTTCCCATCCACCATCACGTTGGCTGAGTAGTTGTCGAAACTGCAAAGTGGAAAGGCTAGGTAGTCTGGGCAGGGTTACCAGGCCACTGGAGCCCAGCCAGCAGGTTTGAGTTCCGAAGCCCACACAACCCAAACTCTGGCCAGTGCCCCAGCCTCACCATGGAAACCCAGAACCAGGGTCCCTTGAACAAGACCTTAGAGCCGAAAGGAGGTCCCATCCACGTGTGACTGGCCTCTACTGGCCAGCTCCAGCTACCTCCCACTCCCGTGCACTCACACTGTGGGGATGTACTCTCCCGGGAAGGCGTTGGTCGTGTAGCTGATCAGCAAGCACGTCTTCCCCACGGCACTGTGGAAAGAGGTTCAGCCCACGTGGCTCCAAGGGCCGAGCCTCCGCCCCTTTTCCTACCCGCAAGGGCAGCCAGCTCCCGCAGAGCAAGAGGTTAGTTCGGATGACTGGGGTGGGGTGGGTAGGTCGTGGCCCAGCTGGTCTGCAGCCACCTGGGGCTGAAAGGAAACTGACCAGAGCAGGCTAGCCTCTGAGGGAGCACAGTGGTGGGCGCGGTTGCAAGGGCTCACAATCCTGGATAGGGCACGCCGCAACGTACAGGGGCGTCAGAGCTCCCAGCACCTTGGGTGGCTGGCGCGAGGGTGGAGCCACCCAGGAATCAGCGCAGGTGAGGCCGGGCCCCACCCACTGTGAGCACCGGGGCGGAGGCCGGGCAGCATCAGGTGTGCCGGGGCTAGAGGAAGGTGGACAAGCTTGAGCTTGACCCCACCCCATCGGCCCCTGGACGCACGCGGCCAGGCTATGGTGGGGGCGCGGTGGAGCTGCCTCGCCAGGACCCCGCGACTGTCTGCCCCGCCCAGCCTCACCTCACCCCAAAGCCTCCTACTTGCCCCTCCGCCCCTGCGGCTCGGGACAGCGCACTCACCCATCGCCGACCACCACACACTTGATGGCCTGCATGGGCGCGGGGCCGGGCGGCGGCGGGCGCGGCCGCGAGCCGAGCTGCGGAGAAATGCCCGGCGCCGCAGCGGCCTCGGACCCGAACGCCGAGCGAGCGGCCGGAGACAGCCGAGCGCCGCCGAGTGCCGGGTGCGAAGACAGCCGAGTGTGCGCAGGCGGGGCGGGGCAAGGGGCGAGCTGCGGTGGGGGCGGAGCCCTAGCCAGTCCTTGAACCCCGAAGGCTTAGACTGAGGGTCCACACCCAGGAACGAGGACGTGGTGCACCGCAGCTCAGGTTGGTGATGCCACCGACAAGGATGCACAGGGCGGACGAGCCCAAAGCTTCCCAGGGACTCCAGCCCACCCTGCAGCTGAGAAACCCTGTCTACAGACCCAGTACAGATGTGGCCCTCCCAGTTGCCTGGTGGTGGGGTAACCCAGTACCACCCTGGAGGTTCATTCACGGGACTGGAGCAGCGGGTGCAGCAGAAAGGAACTGGACAAGAATGTATCACTAAGTATAAAAGTCCTGTATTTCCACCCTGCCAGTGGGGCATCTGTTCCCCCCCTACAGCAGTACTGTTCTGGTTTGTTGTTCTGGGATTGGGTCTCCTGAGAGCGTTTCTGTGCACGTCGGTCGTCTCGCCTATACCGGTGCTGACCTTCGGGGTGAACTACCTTGGATGGGCAGGTGTGCCGGTGAGCACCAGTATTGGCAGAACCCCACCCTGACACTGCAGCTGACTTTTGAACCCCCCAGGCCTGCCTCTGAGAGTGAGATATGACATTTCTGCGCTCGCAGGGCGCTCCGGGCCTCCCTGCGTCCGTCCCTTCATTTAGGGGGACTCAAGGCTCTCAGAGGAGACCCCTGAACGTAAGCCAGGACAGCATTTTGCAGGAAGCTTGCCCTCTGGGCCTCTTCATCTCGGATGCGTGAGATCTCTGCCTCTTTGAGCCTCAGCTTTTCTCGGAGAGACGCGTTCTCACTCTCTCTGTCCAGCAGCGCCTCCCGGTGTTCATTCCCGATCACTGCAAGGGGGAGAGGCTCAGTGAGGAGGGGATGGGTGCCTTTCCATGTGTCCCAGCACTTGGGAGGCAGAGACAGGTAGGTGGATCCCTGAGACTGAAGGCCAGCATGGTCCGAAGAGTAAGCTCCAGGACAGCCAGGGTTATACAGAGAAACCCTGCCTGGGGGTGTGGGAAGGAAGGGGCGCATCTCTAGGGGACACGCCCACCCCCATCCGTCCCAGCCCAGCTGTGCAGGTGAGATGCGCAGTAACCTTTCAGCTGCCGCTCCAGGGCTGCCACCTTCTCTCTCAGAACTTCCTGAGCCACCAGGTCGGCTTGCATGCGGCCCATCTGTCCCTGCAGTTCCGCCCTAACCCTGCTCAGCTCCGCCACTTTTTCCTGGTCCTTGTTGCTCAGCTCCTGGGATGGGAGTGCGCAAGGTGAGGCCACGGCCTGGAAATGAAACCCCTAGAGCCTGTGCTCCTTGGTGCCACGCTATGACCTGCTGGAGCTCTTCCAGGCGCCTCTGCTGCCCCTCCATTTGCAGGCTCAGCTGGCTGGCCCGGGCCTGGGCCTCAGCCACCATCTGCTTCTGCTGCAGGCAAGTACCCTGAGCCTCATCCCTTGCCTGCGCCAACAGCCGGATCTTCTCCTCCAGGTGTGCAAGGCGATGTTGCTGTGGGCAGGGGAATGGCTGTTGCACATGAAGGGACCCCAGTCTGAGCTCAGAACTGGAGGGACAGACAGTCTGCTCCCCAAAGACCGAGGAGAGGGCTTCATGGCGCCACACAAGAACTTGTCCTGTGTCCAGAAGCATCTCTCGTTGGGCTTTCCTCTTGCATCTCAAGGCAACTCTATCATCTCTGGCCTTCCTCGCCCACGCAGTACAGGAAGTACCACAGCCCTGCTGGCTCCTGGCATCTCTGAGCTCCAGTCCCACGCCCACAGCCCTGCAGGCTCCTGGGATCTCTGAGCCCACAGCCCTGGTCTTGCCCTACCCTAACCACCCTAACCCTTTGCAAGGTGCAACAATTGAGCCATACATACTCGTGGCCAAAGCTCACCTCCTCCAAGCGGGCCTGGTTCCTGGCTTTGATGAGCTCCTCCTCAGCCTGTCCACGCTCACTGAGCAGTGTTGCCTTCATGCGGCTCAGCTCCTGCACGGGAGATAGCTACTACTAGCCCATCTTGCAAACACGCTGCCCCCTTGACCCCCGGCTCCTTCTGGGCCACTGAGCAGCCAGGCCGGGAAAAACCTTTCCATAAATATCCTTGGAACCACTCAACTATTTCCTTGCTCACTGAGATGGGGTTTTTACTGCCAAAGAGGCCTAAATGTCATTTCTAATCTCTGACCTTTCAGGGATGGGTGGATCCCATAGTGAGACCTAATGAGGCTGAAACTCAGGGGTACTCCGAGGTCATGAATGTCACCCTGCGGTCTACCCAGGGCCTGTGTAGTCTCACCTCTTCCAAGGACAGCCGCAGGGCCTCTAGTCTCTGTACCCTCTCCTGCATGGTCCTCTCACTGTCCTCCAGGTGACGGGTCATGTGATCCACCTGTCCAAACGAGGGGGGTCAGGGCCAGTAGACACAGGCTCCCCCTAGCCCCTGCCCCATGGAATCCCTACCCTGGAAAGCAGGTATCATTTGGCAAAGGTCTGACTTGAGTGGCCTGGTGGGCACCAAGGACAGAGGCTCTGATCAGGGCAATATACAGCAAGGAGTCCATAGCCTGAACCACGGACACTGTTGCCTGCAACTCTGGCATCATTAACTCAAGGTTCACCGACCAGGGGCATGCATTAGGAACACTGCGCAGCACAGGGCCGGCCTGCAGGCCCCAAGTGGAGTCAGGAGAACCAGGGGTGTCCCTAAGACAGCACCTCCTTGGAGTGCAGCTTTTCCAAGTCTTCCATGTTCTGTTTGGCTCTCCGCTTCTCCACATCCAAGCGCTCTGGAGGCCCAGTGGGGAAGAATGTGGTGAGGCTTCTCTGGGGTGGAGGGAGTGCTTTGTCCCTGGAGCTCCGTGTGCCCTTAGTGCCAAGCCTGTCCATGCCTACCCTCAGCCTGAATAGCACGGATCTTCAGCTCAGCGGATGTGTTAGTCAGCTCCTGCCTGGTCAGAAACAGCTGCTCCTGCTGAGACTTTACCTTCCTTTCCAACTCCTCCACCTGGGAAGCAGGCAACAAGAGAGGAAGCTTCTTCACCCAACCCCGGTACACTGCCCTGGGCTCTTTGGGTAGCTGGCTCTATCCCTCTTTGGCCATACCCATGCCCTCAATGCCACACCCCTCACACCAACCTGGCTTCTAAGCAGCAGGTTCTTTTCACTGGTGGCAGACAGGTCCCTGAGGAGCTTAGATTCCCTGTCGGCAGCTTCCTGGGTGAGAAGGGCAAGGTGGCAGACGCCTCCGGTTGGCTGTCTGGAGGCTGTTGCCATGACATTTTTGCCAGCCACCTGCTAGTCCACACAGCCCAGCGCCTACCTGCTGCTCCAGCTTGTGCTCCTTCTCCTGTCTCTGTGACAGGCTCTGCCGTTCCTGTTCCGCGGCAGTCAAAAGTTCCCCCAGGTCCTGGGCCTTCTGCTCCGACAGAGCCAGGGAAGCCTCTGTCATCTGCAGCCTGCAACGAGGAAGACCAGGTCCATCAAGAATGTCACCTGCTTGGCAAACATCTGTTCTCACACTCCTACCAAGTCTCTACTCAATCCCCAGGGAGCACTTGCCCCCTCCTCTGCCTTGTGGGCACGGCTGTAAGTCTCTAAGGTGTTTGAGGTTCCTCTCCTCTGCCTTACTTGGCTTTGAGGGCATTGATGATGGACTGTCTCTCGTTGAGGGCTTCCTGAAGCTGCCCAACTCGTGCTGCTGATGCCCTGTGGACAGAGAGGTGGTCCTGGGAACTCCAAACCCCAGAGCCACTGGCTTTTCCCAGCCTTGGCAGCAGCTGTTGATCTCTGTACATTTATGTCTATAACGTCCTCAGTCCGCCAGGCACAGAGCTAAGCACTCCACATCTGCCACTAACTGCCTGCCCGCTTGCTTGGAAGCAAAGACCTTGCTGTTTTCAGTCTTGTAACAGACAGGACTCAGGTCAGGTTGTACTCAAATCAGAAGCCAGTGACTGAGAAGCAGGTACCCCAGGTAAGCTACGGTCCTACTTCCCACATCCCCAGGGCTCACTCACCTGCCGTTTCTGGCCATCTCTTCTCGTTGCTTATCGATGGTCTCCATCAAATCCAGAAACTGGAGACAAAGTCAGTCAAAGCACCGTTAGAAGCGGAGCCTACCCTGGTCAGGGACAGGAGTACAGACTCCCATCAACAGAGCCAGGCTTCAGAGCACTCAACTGTCTTGACCCCATTGTCTCATTCAAAAGGAGGGAGGCTTGGAGGCTAGGACTCCCTGTTTGCTCTCAGCTCTGAGGTGAAGTCAGCATACAGGAGGTGGGGTCAGGAGGCCACCTAAGCCCTGGGTTCCCCTTGGCTCAGAGGCCTCAAAGGAGTATAGAAAGAGCAAGGCAGAAGGCAGCTAAGCTGGGCTAGTGAGGGCACTATGTTTACCTGCTTGGACTTCTCTTCCTGGAGGTGTTGGACCTCCTTGCTAAGGATGTTGGTGCGGGCTTGGTTCTCCCGAAATGCGGTGAGCCTGTCCTGGTTGTGGTCCATGGCTTGTCCTGGCAGAAAAGACCATGTTACCCACTGGGCTGGACATCATGGGCTATGGCTAACCTAGTCCTGTGCTGCCTGTGTCTGGAAGCTGGTTATCTGGGAGCTCACCCTACGGAAGGCAACATCTCCGCAACAAATCAAGACATCCTCATCCAGTGCACCCAGGTGAAGCATTTCAGTGGAGGGTAGGACTGGGTGATGGAGGAACCTTGAGACAGGAGATCTTTTGCCCATACGGGAAGCTGCTGTACTACCCCAAAAGTTGGGTACTTCTGGCTTCCCCAACAAGGGTCAAGGGGTATATGACTTCAAGAGATGGGTGCTCTCTTCTCAAAAGTCTGATGGCATTATAAGCCAGATAGGGTTCTGCATGCCAGTGATCCCTGAACTTGGGGATAATGAGGTCAAAGCAGGGGCCGGAGAGACGGCTCGATTAAGAGCACTGGCTGCTCTTCCAGAGAACCCAGGTTTAATTCCCAGCTCCCTCATGACAGCTCACAGCTGTCTGCAACTCCTGTTCTAGAGGATCTGACACCCTCACACAGACATACATGTAGGCAAAACATCAATGCACATAAAATATAAATAAATGAGGTCAAAGCCAGCCCGGGCTACATAGCAAGACTGTCTTTCACACGCACAAGAAGATCAAACAAAACAATTATAAGGAGGATACCCATACAGATACAGGGCTGGGAACAAAAAAGACAGCAGAGATGACAAGAGTCAGGCACAGCCAGTAGCAAGTGACAACTCTGTAGCAGGGGACATGGCTAGGTCTGGGATCCAGGACTCCAGTCAGTCCTGAAAGCTCAGGCTTCGGCGGGTGATACCAGATGACAAACTCCTGAGCCCAAGGCCAAGTTTTCATTTGTAAGGACTCAGGGTTCACCCCCTGACTACATGGGTGCTAAGATGAGAGATGCCTGGTACAAGCACCAAGAAAGCCGCCTGTCTTCAGCTGCTTCCCCCGTGGGCCTCCATGTCTTGAGGCTCAAGCCCCACCCTTCTGCGGTGGATGGGCTTCTGTTAAAGGGCTCCATGCCTTATCCCAACCTGTGAGAAGCTAGCAGCCCTGAGCGCCCATACCCACAGCTCTCAGGATGTCGCCAGGGATGTTGTTCCCAGCCAGGTCCAGCTTCTGCAGGCTTCTGTTGCTGGGGAGACAGTTCACCAGAGCCCGGCCCCCCAGGAGGCCAATGTTATTCCAGCGCAGGTCTGGAAGGAAACCCCGCTGTCACTCAGTTGGATGGGAGGTACTGGCCCAGCCTAGGATACCTCCTCTCTGGTACTTTACTGCCTGTGGCTGCCAATATAGCCAGGAGCCAAGGCCAACCTCTCCAGCAGCGAGGGAAAGGGTGTAATTTAATACAGCGCAATGTAACCAGGTCCCGTGGGGGTACGTACAGCAGAGTTTGGGAGGTCTCACCCAGGTGCTGGAGGGTGGTGTTGCCCTTCAGGGCCAGAGCCAGCTCCTCTGCTCCCTTGTGACTGATCTGGTTGTTTCGGAGGTCCAGCTGCCGCAGGGTGCTATTGGCCGCTAGGCCCCCACAGAAGGAGGCGAAGGCATCTTCCCACATGCCGAGGTTGTTCCACTCTAGGGTGAGACTACAGAAGGGCGGACACGGGTTCTTGGTTCAACAGAACGCTTGTCCCATGGGGTTCAGGGCATGTAGAAGGCCAGTTAACCAGCTTACCATTCACCGGTGGGTGAAAGAACATGGGTAAGTGGGTGACAGTGAGCTGGTTGCAGGATTATATCCTCTGGGGCCAACCCTAAGCCCCACACACAGAGGAAGGCGTGAGGTTCAGGCGAGGCCTAGACATAGTCCCTACCTCTGAATGGACTTGCTCTGTCGAAGGAGCTTTCCCAGAGCCTCTGCTCCTGTAGCTCGGAGGTTGTTGCCCTAGAAAAGGAACACTCTGGCCGGTCAGTCGCCCTTGTGACCCTGGTTCCAGATACCACACCTGTGCCCCACAGACTCAGGCAGCGCTAACGGCTAGGAGGCAGCTCTGGGCACAGGCATGGCTGCTAGATCCTAGCTTTTCTGACAGTAGCTTATTATGGTGCTCAGTCCCTTGGCATTTATGTGAACGCTGTTGAGATGCTGAAGACAACACTGATTTTAAAACACTCCCCACACCCATGGGCCCCTCAGAGAGCAGTCCTAGGACCTTTGGTATTGGGAACTCTTACAGAGTCTCCGACTCTGTATCTTTCCACTGCCCGGGGTACAGGCCTGCTCACCTTTAGATCCAGACGTTGCACAGTGGTGTTGGCACACAGCCCTTGGAACAGCAGTGTGGACCCTGTGTAAAGGTAGTTGGGACAGGGGGCTACCACCCAGAAATAGAAGATGGACATCTACCTGTCCAAGTGGCACCATTGTTTTGGGTTTACAGTAGGAATGAGTTCCCCCATTTACTGTAAGGTTAGACATTAAGGCTTCTCTATTACAGTGATGTTGACGTCTACTCCCAGGTTTTAAAAAGAATGCTAAAGTGCACAAAGAGAGGAGAAAACAAAGGGGCTGGGGAGAAAAAGAGCGCGTGTGTGGAGGATAGGGAACTAGGGAACGCACTGACTCCTCTGCTTACAGCTCCCCAGGCCAAACACAATCAGGACACCCGCCCTTAGGCCAGCCTGGAGGCAAAGGGCTTGGACCCTCACTCAGAAGTTTTAGGTGCTGTTCCGAGGCAACCGGCCTCACCTTCCTCACTCAGCATGCAGTCACTGAGGACAAGCTCCTTCAACAGCTTCTCATCATGCAGCAGCTGGCCAAGAGCTCTGCAGGTGTCCACCGTCAGGCTCTGAGTAGCCAAGTCCAGTCGGCCCCGCGGAAGCTGGTGCAGTTGCTGCAGGACAGCCTCCTGGGGTTCGGCCCCACTCTCCTTGCACAGGCGGCTGTAGGAGCGCCGGAACTCCTCCATGTCCCCGAATGCTGACAGGGCCTTGCAAACATGCCCCTAAAAACAGGCTGCACGTAAGCTTGCTAGGCCGATGGCTGGGAACCCCTTTCCCTAGAGAGTGTACACGGAGGCGTTGAGCTGAGCTGGCCCTATGAAGGGAGGCCTAGAAATACAAAGAAGGTGAAAAGCGCTCAAAGAAGGGATTCAGAGAGCAGAGCACTGGCCTAGGAGAGCAGGTAGGCGCGTTGCACGTACCCTGGTCTGGCCCTGCTGCCCCTAGCCCGCCCTCGCGACGTGGCCTCGGGTCGCAGATGCTGTGCTTTGGACGCGGTCCCTCGCGCCTCAGTATCCAGGAAGAGCGTGGAGCTCCGGGAAGGAAGATAGGAACTACAACTCCCATGAGGCATTGCGGAAGAGGGTGCTAGCGGCAGACCAATGAGAGCGAAGGGCGGGCTTGCGCTGGGTCTCCAGCTGGAGAGACGCTTAAGTGACTGGCTGCTGGGCTTGGGGGCGGGACTTCATGGACGCTCTCCCCATTCATAGGTTGGGAAGTGGCAGAGTTCCGGAGAGCGCGTACTGAAACTGTGGCAATGGAGGAAACCAGCGGCTTCCGGAAGGTGAGGTCCTCGGGAGTGTTAGCTTTGTGCACTGCGGGTCCCCGCGTGACACCTGTGCAGGCTCGAAGTCACCCTTGTCGCCGTGTCCCGTGTCTTTGGCGGGGGTCCGGCAGCCCAGTGGACCTGGGCGGAGCAGCCTGCGCGCTCTGCGGCGGCACTGAGCGGGTCTGCAGATGGCGGGCTGGGGACAAGGGGTCTTCCCAGGAGGGACCACGGTCTTTCCAGCCCGGCCGATGCGATGCATGGGGTACACCGACGCGAGTCTCCACCGCTGGGGCCCGCGTCATTTCTCAGTGAAAAGCAGGCTTGCAAGGACTGGCCCGTTTGCTGGGGGGAGGTGGTGCGGTTAGGGGGTCGGCTCTTTTTATCAGGTCGGTGCGCGCCCTGTGCAGAGTTCGGGCTGGCCCCCACGCTCCGTTCAGCACTTCCAACAGTTTTGGGGGCTGTGGACAGAATCGGGGTCATTCATTGGATTACGGTGAGCGGGCTGTCGTAGGAGAGTGACAGGAAGGGAGGGGACCCGTATCCCTCCCTGACTGTGGCCTTCTGGACGAGGAAGAGGAGCTTGATGTGTCACCGTCTTCTCCCTAATCCTTCCCTCCAGCACTCACGTCCACTCGTTGATCGAATGGCCTGTGGGGCTGAAGCTGTCGGTACCGCTCTGATATAGCGTGCAGGGGGAAATACCAGCAGGGGGCACTGTTCTCACGTAATTGTCCCTCCTGACAAGTTCACCTGTGCCTCAGACTCCAGTCCATTCCCCCCCACCTGTGCCCCTCTGCAGCGAATGGGTCTCGTGGCCTCCATGTGACTGATGCTCGTGAATCCAAATTCACCGTCCTCTGTTGGCCACCCGCTTTCCAGGGTGCTGGGTGTCTATTGCTGGGCCTTTTCCCAGCCATCTCCCATTCTGTTCTGCACTAGGTAAAATTGAGTGGTCTGATGGCTTCACAATCTACAGATTCCCAGGGGCTCATTTTGGGTGTCCCCAATGGAACTTACGCCTCTGGGTCCTCACCCTTATCGCCATTTCAAACACTGCCACCAACCTTTCCTTGTCTCAAACCATCCCTGGAGCTTGGCTAATCCCCTGCGGCCACCACCACCAAATACTGCATCGGCTAGATCTCTCCAGAACTATTTCCAGGTGTCTTCGTTTACAGCTAGAAATGACTTCCAACTTCTTGCCAAAGAAAGCTCAAGGGTTCTTGGGTATCTGTCCAGCCACCCACCCCTACTATGTTGTGTCTGTGCAGCAGTAATCCAAGCTGACCAACTGCCAAAGGAGTCAGCACTCCTCAAAGCTGCCAGGGCCCATTTTAGGGTCTCGTGCGGAGCGTTGTCCCGGGAATGGGAGTGATGTTACTGGACTTTCCCCCATCTCTTGTGGCCCCTTATCCCTATAGGCAAGTCTCTCAAGCCCTTCTTGACAGCTCCTATGGCGTCCTCCCCTCAAAGCACAGCTGGCCTCACCCCCTGAACCTGGGAGCAGCCCCTAGGATGGCACTGACTCCCTGCCCTTCCTGCAGGAGCTGGTGAGCAGACTACTGCACCTGCACTTCAGGGATTGCAAGACTAAAGGTTTGGGGCACAGGTGGGGTGGGGAAGGGTGTGGGGCACAGGGAGGAAAGGCAGGCTGCCCGTAACCCACCCTTCCCCTCCAGTCAGTGGGGATGCACTGCAGCTCATGGCGGAGCTCCTGAGGATCTTCGTGGTAGGTGAGCTAAGCGCCCCTACCCCCAGCACCAGGAAAATGCAGATTTCCTTGCTTTATTTTCTAGTAGACAAACTAAGAGGTTTTTCTCAGCTACTGTCAACCCCAAGTCCTGTCCTGGGGGCTGACAGTGGGTGGGTGCAGGGTCCTGACAAGGGCGGGGCTAAGTCTGCCCAGCGCCCCCCCAGCTCACTTCACAGTGTTTACTCAGAAGCCGCTGCCCGAGGAGTCTGCCAGGCACAGGCGGAGGACCTGGACATTGTGGATGTGGATCAGCTGGAGAAGGTGCTTCCTCAGCTGGTACGTGGGGTGCTGGCTGATGGGGCAGCCTGCCAGACTCAGTGGCACCTGTGTGATGGCTCCGAGCACGCCTCTCTTCCACAGCTCCTGGACTTCTAGAGGTAGCACCTGTGGCCTCTGTGCAAAGCCCAGGGTGAATTCACACTAGCGCTGACACCTAGTTCTCCGGCTCCAGAGGATGCGAAGATACAGCAGCTGTTATCCTTCCTAGTTATTGCCCCTCGGGGGTGGGGGGACAGGTGCAGGGAAAGTGGACCAGCCTGCCTTCAGCCACAGCCCCCACCTGGAGCCTCTCGTCACAAACAAACCAGCCGCTGGCAGTGCTGGCTTCTTACCCTACATCAAAGCTGCTGTGAAGCTCTTTAACCAGGCGACCCCAACCCCCAGGACGCCTCCCTGAGCTGTAAATTCATTCTTCCAAAGCAACATCTAAATCAACACCATCTCTCTGAGGCTTGGCCTTGTTGTTGGCTGTTAATCACCCCAAGTCTAGTTGCTTCAAAGCTTGAGCCCCATGTCCCCTTCCATCCTCCTCAGTGGGAAGCATGCAGAACTCTTGAGCGGGCAGGGTAACAAACAGCGTGTATGCACATGCTGCAGCAAAACAGGGGCCCTCACACATGAGGCTGGCTCCCCTGAAAAGTGTTACTCTTGCCGCAGGCCGCAACTTGCCGCTAGCAGGCAGTGGGGGTCCAAGAATGTATGTGAATCGGGGTACACAGCTGGGAAGGCCCGGAGGTCTGCTGCCTGGGCCTGGCATGCGGCCATGCTGGACTGCAGGAAGACTTTCCTTTGGCCCCCACCCTGCCCAACTGCAGTCTGGGTATAGGTAAGGGACAGGCTGTGCCCTCTGAGAGGTGGAGTTGAGAAGCCAACCTGGAAGCCGCAGGTCAGTTCTCGGGAGACATGCAGGGTGTCTTGCTAACCCCTACACACAGTGCCCCCTTAGGTCTTTGGGGGGGGCACCTAAGACATGTAATCCGAAGGGACAACTACTCTTGCAGATCTCACAGAGCCTAGAATAGACTTGGGGGCAAACTCCGAAGTCAGTGGTTAGACTGGATTTAGCTGGATGGATAGAGCTGCTCTAAATGTCTGCACAACCGACACCCCCCCCCCCCGCCCGCCCCGGGGTTTCTGGTTTCCAAGCACTAGGGAGTGGGTGGCAGATGGGAGACATTTGGGAAGGGGCTGGCTGGCTGGTGGGACACAGCTCCTACCAGCTTAAGTGCAGTCCCACTGAAGGTATGTACAAAGGGCTACCAGAATACCCCAGGCCAGGCAAGCCAAAGGTAGCTTTGTGGTTAAATGCCTGCTTCCTCCTCTCTGGGTTTATGCCAGAAGCTTGGAATGGCCCTAGGTTGTAGATTATTTGCCAAGGAGGCTCCCTCTTTCACTTCTGTCCATTCAGTAAAGAGGTTAATAATGAGGTCAGATCTAAGTGAGGAGGAAGCTGGCCTACCCACGGTTCTGGTCATCTTAAGCCCTTTGGGTAGCAGTGAATGAGGTCTGCTGCCTGGGCCTGGGCAGGCTGGATGGAGGCCTAAGGGCCCTTCCTACCGAAAAGAACATCGAAGGGCCTTGAGAGAAGCGCGAGTCTTTATTCCTGCTCGGGGAGGGTGGGGGTGGGATCCTGTGGCTGACATGGGCATCTCCAGGCTGGTAGCTCTCACCTCTTGCTGGCTGTCATGCAAACACCAGAATGACCACATGCTCCTGGGCTGCTGCCCAGCCACCCTACCCTACCCGGTTGGTCGGTGACAGACCGGCACCTGGCAACTTCAGCCACTTGGGCACTTTGCCCAGGCTTCTCCTCATAGGCTGGGCCGTCCCTTGAATGGGTTCTGGGGGTCCCAGTGCCCCCTCCTCAGCGATGGGCTCGGACTCCAGGGGTACAGGGTCAGGGTCTGGCAGCAGAGGTAGGGGTCCAGCGGCCCGGGACATACACCTAGGGGTGAGAGGCCAAGGCCAGGTGGTGGGCACAGCCTTGGAGGGGCTCCCAACCCCTCAGGGACTTACCTAGCCACCAGCATGTCAGCCGCAGATGGGGAGACAGTGTGTTCTAGCAGTCCCGGTTCCAGGTAGAGACCTTGAGGGGCCAGAGCTTACCCTTAGCCACATACGGCAAGTGGGGTGTGGCTAGGCAGGTACCCCAGGGAGGTGGGCACTGGGCTGCAGACCCCCCCCCCCCATCCTGCAAGGCCCTCCGAGAGCGTCCTTTCTAAGGATACTGCTTTGGGCATCAGGGCAGCTGGGGTTCGGGGTAGCTCTGGGTCAGAAGTGAGGCCTCACTCACCTGTTGGTTCTTCAGCTCCAAAGTGTACAAGGGCGGCAGGGAAGAGGTTTGCCTGCAGGGAGGGTAGGGAGCAGGGAGGGCTCAGAGGGCCACACAAGCAGTGCTGAGCAGGCTCAGGCCCCCAAAGATGTCTCCACCCTCCCTCTAGCACTACCCTGACGGGCCACAGGGCAGCAACACACCAGTTAGGAGCCCCACTCTGCATCTGCGTCAACTGTGGTGTCCTGCACACCCACTGCCCAACTGTAGCACCAGCAAACATTTCAGTCTGGACGCCCACAGAGCACGAGGGTTTGTCTCAGGGTACACTTTGCGGAGGGGGTCAGAGGGGGCGCAGGGCTGGCGAGTGGGGGTCTGGGTCTACCGCCTACCAGCCCGACGCCGTCTAGGAACAGGAACAGACCTGTATCGCTGCCCCTGCACCACTCATGCCCCCCACGTAAGGGTGAGGGGCTGTGGGCTGGAGTGTCTGAGAGCCACTGGGTAACAGGCCCAGACACGAGGCAAGGGCTGGCTCCCAAAATCAAGCTGCTCTAGGGAAGTCACGAGCCGAGAGACGTTCCCTTGTAAGACACACTGGCCCAAGTAGGAAGCTGCAGCCAGGACCAACTCAAGCTCCCCCTGTCCCACCCAAACAAGGATAGCTACAGCTTTGAAAACCTAACTGGATGCCTGGGATGAAAGCCTCCTAAAGCACATCTGTCCAAGAGGGGTAGAAGGTATGGGGTTTCTGCCCAGGAACTGCCCCTGTTTTCCTAGGTGCAGGTGTGGGGTGGGAACAAGCAGACAGGGTTGCTTTCCACTGACACCCTTGGACATGAGGCGCTGAAGCCTCCTTGACAGAGTACGTGACCGTACAGCCCAGGGTTGTAGAGGCCCAAGAAGCTCCAGCATCACACATCAGAATGTTTTCCTCTTTTCCAGTCTGTACCCAAGGGGGACGGCTGGGGCTGGCTGACGTGGCCAAAGACTGACAACAGCCAGGAGCCTGGCGGGACCTGGGAAGGGGCTACAGCTGCAGGCTGAGGGCATTCTTTCCATGCGGCTCCAGGCTCCTGTTGAGTGCCACAGGCTGGAGGGGTGGGCGGGGTGGGTGGGGTTGGGGGATGTTAAAAGATTAATAAGAGCAAGCTTCAAAGGCCAGGCCTAGGAACGCTGAAACCTCAGCCTCCAGCCGGCAGCAGAGGGACACAAACAAGGGCGGTGAAGGCTTTGAAACACAATTGTGAGGTCTGCGATCAAAGCTCATGAGAGGCGGCCTGTGGGGTGGGCGGGGGGCTGCCCTAGTACCCCTGGAAAAGTGCCAGAAGGAAGCTAGGGATCCAAGCAGGGGGCACGGGGAGGACAGTGCTAGAACCTTCCTCAGAATGGTTGGCCCTACCTCCCACCAAGGTGGCCTTGCGGTGGCCAGGGTCACCTTCTGTGCTTACTGCCAGCAACTGAGTGGGGTTCACAGGCACGCTGTGGCCTCACTCTTTCTAGCGCTTCCGGCAGCCTGGCGGGCACCCCCCACAAGGTCTTATCTGTTTGTCTACCCCCACCAGTCAAGAGGATTCCCTTGGAAGTGATTGAGGGGGCAGCTTCCATGTGGCAGCTCTAAGGCCGGACCCTACCTGACAGTGCTTAGGAAGCTCAGAGGGCCAGAGAGGACCCACAGCACGGAGAGGCAAGCTCAGCTGTGGGCTCTGTCCCCGCAAGCCTACACCCAGCCTGCCCAGGTGAGCGGGAGTGAGGGCAGTGGACTTGTTGACATCAAGGTTAATCAGTTTTCAGAGGAGGCTGGGTCTCCATATGAACCTCATAGTACCTCCCTCTGCGGCTGGGCCCCTGTGACAGTGTGAGCTCCTGCCCTCTTGAAGACCACAGCAACAGCCACCACTTTGGCTCATAACCAAAAGCAAGGCTCCCACCTTCCTCTTTCTCCCTGGGACCAAACAATCCTGGTAAGAGGGAAAGACTAGCCGGGAGGTGGAGGCGCACGCCTTAGATCCCTGCACTCAGGAGGCAGAGGCAGAGGCAGAGGCAGAGGCAGGTGGATCTCTGAGTTCAAGGCCAGCCTGGGCTACAGAGTGAGCTCCAGGACAGTAATGGCTACACAGAGAAGCCTTGTCTGGGAAAAAAAAAAAAAAGGGCAAGGCTACCACCCTTTGTGGGGTTTACACTCTGGAGCTGCCTGACTACACACCAGCCATTGCCAGGATCAAGCCTTCAAGGGAGCAGCAGGCCAGCCTGTTGGTAGGGTATCCTCCCAAGGGAGAGTGGCCTCTCCGCCGATGACAGGGGGCAGGGAAAGCCCTGGTTGGGGGAATGGCTAGTTCCCTCATAGGCTGGGTCTCAGTGGACTCAGCTGGAGGTCCAGATGATCCTCTGGGCATTGTTCAGTTCTGTCAGAAGCAGAGTCTGGGACCTGCCTCACCGCTCACCTCTTCCTCTCTCAGACCTCGAAGATGGGTTTTCCTCCAGCCTGGGGCAGGAAGTCAGGAGGGCATGGAAAGGGGGTCCTCTCCCACAGGGGCCTCCCTAGACCCCTAGGACCAGTTCCTAGGTGAACTCATCCTGTCACCCTCCAGTGTCTGCCCAAAACTGAAACCCCTGCCCACGTGCTTGGATCTCTGGAGTCCCAATGGAACAAGGGACAAGTGGGCAGAAGATCAACCCAACCAACAAATGGTATTCCAGCTTCTGCTCACTCCACAGCCCCACACTGGAATTTAACACTAGCCAGGACTCCAGGCTCTAAGCCATTCTCTACACCCAGCACAGACACACAGAGAAGCCACAGGTTTCAAGCTACACCCCTCCCCTTGGACCCCCAGGACTACTCAGAGCTCAGGGGGAGGGATGGGTGTGGCAAATGACCAGCAGTTCCCAGAATGCACCAGAGGGCAAGAAAGGCAAGACCTCTCTCCAAGCTTCAGGAAATACAGCAGGCCAGGTGGGGCTGGGCGCAGGGTCTCAGGCTTTTCCCTGCTTTCCTGACTTCCCTTCCTACAGCACCAACACAACACTACTGAGCTCCAAAGCCTTGAGAGAGGAGGTGGGTTGGGATGAAACAGGGAGGCTAGGGCTCACGCCCAGGAAGTTTACCGTGTGAATAGGGCTCTGTTCCCACCCTTCTGTGGTTTTCGTCCTCCCTGCCCCCACTG